TTTTTTTCAATTGGAAGAGCTTTCACAATTGCTAACTGTTTTGGAGTGTCAGATAACCATTTAACAGCTTTGGCCCATTGATGTTGATTAAGGTTTGGTATCAAAGCTGCTTCAGCTAACACTTCTTGAATAAAAGCATCTTCATCAATCGTAATATCAAATGCTTGAACAAGTCGCTTTAATGATTCAGCCACTTCTTTCAACGAATTAGCTATTCCATCTTTTTCTCCTGTCTTTCTCCTTTGAGATTGTGTGCTAGTAGAAGCTGAAGATTGACCCCTTCTTTGTGTAGTAGAGCCAGGTTCATCTAAATATATGGTATCACTAGGACCCTCTAAACCTAATTCCCCTTCATTTATTTCTCTACTCATGACCTCATCAGCATCCATAGCAGTCTCAGCTCCATGTCCAGTGGCTCTATCTTTAGCACACAAGTCCACTATATCATCCCAGTTTGCAATCACCTTGAAACAAAATTGTCTTGCTTCTTTATGGGCCTTGAAAATAAAAGAAACAAGTCTGTAATAGGCTGCATTACTATTTTTTCTTTGTTTATTCTATTATAAAACTACCATAACTAATTGTGCGCTTTTTTTTTAGAGAGTTAGTTTGTGCCAGTAACTAATAGAAGCCAAATAAAAAGTTTTTCTCATTTTAAGAATAATAGAAGAAAAAAGTGACAAGATAATTGTAAATGAAGTATTAACAAATAAATAAAAATATAAAGTTAAACAAAAAGTAATAATATTTATATTATAAATCAAACATTATAAAAATAGGTAAAAGTGTAGTTAAATAATAATAATAATAATAATAAATAATGAAGTTTTGATATTTACCAACAAAATAAAATTTAATAAAATTATAAATTATATGAACAGAATTAAAATATAACTAATAAAAGTGAAGTAAAAATTTTCTTAATTTTAAAAATTAATAAAAAAACTACAATTTACAGAGAGAAAAAAAATCTAATAATTACAAATTAAAGATTAAAAAAATAGATAAAATATAATTAAAATTAAATAAAAGAATAATAAATAAAATCTTAAAGATTAACCACAAAATAAAAATTTATTTAATAAAAGTAATAATTGTAAACATCATAAAAATAGATAAAAATGTAGTTTCAAATTAAATAAATGAAATTTTAAGAAATATTGATAAAATAGAAATCTTCGCCGTCTGTGAGAATCAAACCCACGGCCACATGGTTAAAAGCCATACACTCTACCAGCTGAGCTAAGGCGACTATATATTTTATAATTTATTTTTTTTAAATTCAATATAGTCTATCTTTTAAAATTTTAAAAGAGCCAGCCCAACGCACCTCAACCTATTCTTATGTAGAGCTAAAAGCCCAACACTGGAACTAGAAAAGAGTTTAGGCAAGAGGCACAATTATTATGAATTAAGAATGTTTGAGTCTATGTTTTGCTACTACTTATGATGCACGGATACGATACGCGTATCAGATACGATACATATCTGATATGGCGATATGTTAAATTTTGAAAATATAGGATACGATATGTTTAGGATACGTATTAAAAATTAAATTAACATATATAAAATAATAATTGTAAATAAATATCATTCAAAAAATCAAAATTAAAAATACATTTCTTGCTTTTTAATTTTTAAACATTACTAAAAAAATTATAAATCATTTTTTTATTAACCCTTTTTACAATTTAAATAAAAAGAAAACAAAAGACATACACGTTGCAGAGGATACTCATTTTATATTAACCCTTACTCACTCACTGCAGGGAAGACATACTTTTTACAATTTTATATTAACCCCTCTTACATAAAGCCCTTATCATTTAAAAAAGAAAAAGTTCCCCAATGCCTGTCACCGCAAAAGACATACACGTTGTAGTCTTGCAGAGGACTCACTCACTGTCCAGCCCCTTCTCACTCACTGCGGGGAAGAATAATATGAAGAAACTCACTTCGCGAAGACGCGACTCACTGCCCAGCTCCTTCTCACTCACTGCGGGGAAGAATAATGAAGAAACTCACTTCGCGACGAGACTCACTCACTGCCCAGCCCCTTCTCACTCACTACGGGAAAGAATAATGAAGAAACGGAGTTACCTGGATGAGTGGGTCTGGTGCTCGCTGCTTGGAAACTCTGTAGTTTGACTGGGTCTGGCGCTCGGAAACTCTGGTGTTTGGCAGCGCAACACATCAACACATCTTTGTATTCTTCATCTCAAATTTCTTAATTTTTCTGCTTATTTATGGTTGATTTTTATCAATGGAATCGTAGAACATTAAATCTGCAAAAATATTTTTCTTTTTTTCTTTTTTTAACAAAATCATTCTAGATACGTTTGAGATACGTATCCTAGGCGTATCAAAACGTATCCGTATCGGATACGTATCCGATACGGATTCCGTGCTTCCGAGGCTACTACCCTTGTCCCAGTCTTTTCCATTACTTTTGTCCAGCTTTAATCTCCTCTTACAACCACCATGCATGGAGATTGAAGCAACTCACTACAAAGAATTATAGCCTCTCAGTTTTGAGCAATGACAGCGGTAGCTATGAGGTTGGAGGAGGCTATCCAGATCTGGAACAAAATCAAAATGGTAGGAATGAAAAGTCGAGCTCAGATACATCTTCTCAGCGTGAAGCCCTTCTCAAAGGAGGAGACCAAGTCATCTCTGTTCTCCAGGAAATGATTACCCTTGTGAGTTACTACTAATGAGGAGAAAGATGAAACACTGTCCATAAATAATTTTATTTTTGTTCTTGACAAAGTTGTGAAAGAGAAATGGTTTTGTAATTATCTAAGACTTAATGGATAACAAATGAGAATATTTCTTTTGTTATTGTATATTTTATGAATTTAAAGTTTAACGTCTATGGGTTTAAAATTAAGTATGATTTGATCAATTTTTAATTTTAATTTCTTTGCTTAGTGGGTAATAATTTTTATTTTATTTTCTGATTTTGTATTTGTTAAATGCAAGTGTGTATAACTAACAAGTGACAGCAACCTCATCTATGGTATCTTTTTCATCAATTTAGTGTTGTGTTGAAAAACATTCTTATTTTTATTTATTTTGAAGGTGCTTGCAACATATTTCTTCTCTTCTTTTGTTCTATTTTTTTTTTGTTTCTTTTTATCTGGAGTGGCTCATGAGTGACTTTTACTTTTAGTAGGCTTCTGATATTAATGTATTGTATAAATTTCCAGTGGTTATGTTTTTTTTTTCTTGTGAAGGGAAAGAACCATCCTAGCCACACGTTTCCTTGTTGAAGATCACTGATTATATGTGTGTCAGTTCTTAGTTCTTACACAGTTATGTCCGCTGTGCTTTTTTACTTCGTTTTACAAATATTTATTGTCCTTGGTCATTTTGATAGTGAATCGTACAGTGCAATGTTGTTTTGAGCCTGTATAATGTGTATAAATGTGTATCCAGTTGGAAGATATGAATATGGATGAAGAATCTGAAAAAGTGGCGGTAGAGTTGGCTGCGCAAGGAGTTATTGGAAAGAGAGTTGATGAGATGGAGTCTGATTTCATGATGGCTCTTGACTACATGATCCAGCTTGCTGAGAAGGACCAGGATGATAAGGTATGATTTTCAAACATCAAATTATAATTTGTCCGTTAAAGTTAGAAATGTACATGTTCTGCTCCATAAGTTTTTGTTTGCAAAAGTATTTTATGAAAAATTTACATTTGGATCCTTTTTTGGAAATAGATTATTGTTTTTTTTTTTGTTTTTAAGAAATTACTTTTGATACACTTTTGGTACGATGTTCTTTACCCTGTCAACCAATCAGGTTTTACTTTTAAGTATGACTTTTAAAGTAATTATTATGAAAATCATCAATCTTAATACATGGAAATCCGTAATTGGATAACAGAGGAAGAAAACCTTTATACTGTCTGTGCATTCTAATTAAATTCTTTTTTTACAGTGAGAAGAGAAACTGTGATGAACTTGTGATTAAGAATTACCTGTTTATGTATTTCAAATTATTGCATTCAGCAGAAGTCACTGTTGGAAGTTATCAAAGAGACAGTATTATCACATCTAACAAAAAAATGTCCACCCCATGTAAGGAACTTCTTTGAGCTACTTCTTGATCATCTTCTAACTGAAGAGAAGCTCCAAATTTTATATTGTTCATCAATGTGCAAATTTTTCCTTCATCTTTTAGGTTCAAGTAATTGGTCTTCTTTGTAGAACACCAAAAAAGGAAAGTAGGCAAGAATTATTGCGCCGGGTTGCAGCTGGTGGTGGTGTATTTAAAGGTGAAAATGAGTTGAAGGTTCATATCCCAGGGGCAAATCTAAATGACATCGCTAACCAAGCTGATGATTTGTTGGAGGTATATATAGAAACTTTAAGCATTAAATAAATTTTCGTGACTTTTAGTACTCATACTTGTCTGTTCCGTATTTAATTTTCTGTATATTGAATGATAAGAGTAAAGTGGCTCTTAAATCCCTTGAGATTGGTATAAATTACATTCTCCTCTTTTAAAATGCAATTGCATGATTTACAAAATCCCCTGTACCATCTTTGTGTTTTGCATTTCATTTTACACCTGCAAATTGTACAAATCAAATTACTGATATATTAGTTATTTTTTGATATTGTACTAATGTGTCTTGTACCTTACAGCTTGGTTTTTGACAAAGTATGCAGATTCCCTTACATTTATAGAGTAGTTGACTTTGTTCTAGTTTTAGAAGATTCTCAATTTTATGGGGCTATAGTGATATATATCCTTATATTTTAGAAGATTTTCAATCTTCTAAAATTCTGTTCAAATTTTAAGATTCTTAACTTTAAGGGCTATAATGATATATATATATATATTATATATATATATATACCTTTTCTTTTCCTTCAATTTCTGTTTGTATATTTTAAAATATTTGCATGTCTTTCAAGGAGCAGCTTCTTTAATTCTTGTTGATACTGTTTTTTTCTATTTCTGGGATTATTAATTTGTGTTGTAATAAGTGATTCATATTATTTTCTTCATCATTTTTCATATCTTCTTCTAACTTATCTTTTCCTTTGAATATTTTTATTACCCTTTCCATCCTATCACACAAGTAGTCTAACGGGAACACCTCGGGTTTTACTGCCTTACCAGGACTTACTACCTATCTCTGGCTTACCAACGCTACCACTACCCACAATGAACTAGGCAAGGTTGAGATAATAAATTTTATTCTTAGGAAATTCTATGTTAGAAAACGATATTCAAATGGTTTAGAAAATAATATAATTCAATATTTCAACAGAATTAATATTCTCAGAACTTATAATTCCCAGTAATAGTGGCAGAGCCTCCAAGTTAGGTTCATATAACTTCTTCAAATATTAATACTATATTGGGAAAAATTTTTCAAGAGTTTGGCTCTGATACCATTTCGGTACCAGATCATAAATATTCAGAGTATCTATTCAGAGTAAGATGAGGAGATGAAATTTAACAAAACATCATTTCGGTACCAGATCATAAATATTCAGAGTATCTATTCAGAGTAAGATGAGGAGATGAAATTTAACAAAACAAGCATAAAAAATCTTCTAAATATTCGTAATTGCTACTTAAAAGAAGAAAAGAACTAATAAAAGTATTAAATTCTTCATCACAATTAATTTCTTGATTATAGATGTATACAGGTATTAAGAATGAAATTTCATAAAAATAAAATTCAATAATCATAAACGATTCGAAGAAATTATAATTTTCATACATGTGTACATGGGCAAATCCATCAATAAAATATTTAATCATATTTAAACTTACAAATATTTTACAGACTTTTGCGAGGGTCAAGCTTTCTTATCTATGCAGGAGACTCAAAGGGAGGTAGAAGTTTAAGGCTCTAACTGAGCTGTGCTTACTACTCCAAATGAATGCTCTTTTATAGATGAAAAAGTGACTTCGAGACTCAAGGCAACAAATCCTATACATACACGTGTTGCAATCTGAAAAAAAATGCATACAACTGGCAAGCCTTTACTTTCGGCTGCCGACACAAACGACAAAATACAAACGACAAAAGAAAATGCTTACAACTGGCAAGCCTTTACTTTCGGCTGCCGACACAAAATGACAAAATATTAAAGCATCTTTTGGGCGACGTGGGAGACAAGGGACCCACGACTTCTTACTCAGATGCTCTACACTCTTCAAATTTCTTCAAATCTCCAAAGGTACTCCAGAGTTGATCTCCATCTGTTGTATTTATTAATTTTTTCATGATACGAATTTGAATTTGATCTTCGACTTTAAGAAGGTATTCTTGAATTTTCTTCTTAATTTGAGCAACCTTTTCCGTTGATTGCTACAAATTATAGAAATCAATATTATCATTTTCAGGCGCCTGAGCCATTTGAATAGCATAACAATCTTCAACTTCTTCTTCTTCATCAGATTCGGAGCCTAAAGAAGATAAAGCATCTAATAATTTCTTTTTCAAACTAGCTTTCTCTTCTTTAGAGGAGGGAAGTGTATCCAGAATAGTCTTCGTGAGAGGCTTTTCTATTTTCAGAGTAGCTTGGGCCTTGGTTGAGGTCTAAAGGCCCAAAGTTTTCCATTTTTGAAATCTTTCTTCAACATATTTTACTTCAAATTTTTTCCACCAAAAAACCTTTGTCTTACGACAAATAGTTTTTGGGTAGGTTTCCTCTTTATGCTGATGTATTTCCACGAGATGGGCTAAAAGCCAACTTATACCCATTGTAGAGCAAAATTTTATAAGGCGAAGGTGAGGAGGTTGGTTTGAGGTAAGCAGTTTATACTTGCGGTAGATATTTAAAACATTTTCAGGAATAATGGATTGAACTGGGCTTATTTGAAAGAACCAATCTACAAACCAATTTGAAATAGGAAGGGGTAATTCATTTTTAAAGCTAATATACCATGAGTGTTTGGGATTTTCTTCTAGTAGTATGTAGGTCCAGGCCTTTTGGTAGTCAAAATATGAATATGAAGGCGGGTCAAAAGGTCTAGAGAAGTTTTTCTCAGTGCAGGGGTGTTGTTTCCAATCAAGATAGGACAACACTTTAATAATTTTCAACTTGGAATAATTTATAATAGAAGGGTTTTTCAGGTCGGCTACGGGAGTTATTTCTACTGAGCCGGTATCTATTAAAATAAACTGATAAAATTTTTTGGTTTTCTTCAAATTTTCATTTTTTGGAATCCAACTCCAGTGAGGAGGAGCTAGATTTTTTACAATCTTCCATAGATCTTCATCTTGCCAATGTTCTTCTAAAGTAACCACATGCTGACAAATTTCAAGAATATGAAATTCTTTTTGGGATATTCTTTGTATTAGAAGGAGAATCTTTTTCTGGTGTTTCAGGAGCATGAGCTAAAACAGTAAATTTATTTTCAAGGGGGTTTTTCAGAGTGTTTGGCAATTTTCTAGTTTGGGATGCTTTCGAATACGAAGGAGAAAAGTCATCTAGTGAGAGACTAGATGGCCCAGTTTTTTCAGGAGGTTTGGGCTGGGAACCCATTTGTTTGGTTTGGGTGGTTATAAGGGAATCCCTGCAAGAATTCTCGTGTTAAAAAATCTGGTATTGAATTATTCTTTCCTTTAATAAATTCTATTTGAAAATCAAAGCAAGATATTAAACTTTGCCATCTAGCAAAAATTTGTTTTGAAACTAAATTTTTTACATCTTTTTCCAAAACTTCTTTCGCAGATTTACAATCTATTCTTAAAAGAAATGGTTTGTTAATTAGTTCATGTTGAAACTTTTGAAGACATAAAACTATGCTCAAAATTTCTTTTTTAATTGTACTATACTTGGATTGGGCTGGGTTCCAAATACCCGAATGATATTTTACTATTTGTTCAGGATGGTTTTCTATTTTTTGTTTAAGAATCCTACCATACCCTTGTTCTGAGGCATCAATCTCTACTATTAATTGGGCTTCAGGGTTTGGTATTCCTAAACAAGGTAAAGTTTTAACTTGGGCCTTTACTTCCTGAACTATTTTGGTTAACTCAGGGGTCCATGGTTTAGGATTTTTTCTAAGCCTGTTATAAAGAGGTTTACATATTATTCTAATCTTAGGAATAAAATCTGCTACATAATTCACACATCCTAAGAATCTTTGTAGTTGATTTTTATCTCTTATTTCATTCGGAAATTTTTCAGAAAATTCAATACTTCTTTTTATTGGAGTTATTGTTCTTTTGAGATACTACCATCCCATTTTTCTTGATTATATGTTTAAATATTCTTAAGTGTTTTAAATGTTGTTCAATAGATTCTGAAAATATTAATACATCATCTATATAAACTAATGCAAATTTTGAATAAGGGTTTAAAATAGTATTCATGATATTCTGAAATTCTGAGGGAGCATTTTTAAGTCCCATAGGCATTACATTCCACTCGTATTGCCCAAAGGGTACTACAAATGCAGTTTTATATTTATCTTCTTCTTTTACTTTTATTTGATAATAACCACTTTTCATATCAAATTTAGAAAATATTACTGCATTATATATTCTGCTAATTAATTCTGATTTATTAGGTAAGGGATATCTTATCCATTTTAAGGCTTTATTCAAAGGTTTATAATTAATAACCATTCTAGGTTCTCCTCTTTCTATTTCTGAAGCATTTTGAACATAAAATGCCGCACAGCTCCAAGGAGATTTACTAGGTCTAATTAGTTTTTTATCCAAAAATTGTTTTATTTCTTTTCTACAATATTCGAGAGTTTCTTTATTCAATTGTACAGGTTTAGCTTTGGTAGGTATATCCTTTTCTGAAAAGCCTTCTTCATATGGTAATTCTATTTCGAAAGAATTCCTATCCCAAAAAGCGTTGGGAACCTCTGAACAAATTTCTTTTATTATTTCTTGTTCTATTTCTTTAAATTTTTCTCTTACTTTAGGTTCGTGTATCTTTTCTTCAATGTTTTTGTGTTTTATTTCATTTTTTAAAAATTTTATTTGATCAGATTTAGCTTTTATTCTAGTTATAAAATTATCTTCATTTACATCTTTTATGTTATTAATTTCTTTAATTTTCTTTGGATTTATGAATTCAAATAATATTTCTTTAAATTGTATTCCTTCTGTGGTTACAGTAAAAGGATATATTTGAGTTAGAAAAGGAGTTCCTAAAATCATTTCTTCACTTATATCTGGGGTTAATATAAAGGTATTTTTGAAACATTGGCCTTGATTACAAATATAGGCTTTAGAAAGTTTATATTTTACTTTTAATTTATTCGAATTCGCTGCTCTTAATGTTTGTACAGTTTTTTCATAATATTGAGTAGGTATTAATCCTTCTCTTATACAATTTAAATCTGCACCAGAATCTACTAATGCAGTAAAAGTTTTATGAAAATTTTTACCAATTTTTAAAGTAGCTTTTATTAACCATTTTTGTTGTATTATTTTTATTTGACTTATTACAATGTTTTCATTGTTAGAGGTAGAGGGTTGTTCTTTTTCTAATATTTCTTTTATTAAATCATTTTTTTGAGAATTTTCAGCTTTTATTTCAGTCAATTGAGTTTTAATTATATTTATTTCTCTTTTTAATTCATTTATTTCTCGTTGTAAATCTAGTATATTTACAGGTTTTTCTTTAATTGATGCTTTCTTTATAATTTGAGAAAAATCATATCCACTAAATTCAGGAGTAGAAGTTGATTCTTCAATGTGATTATTTTGTAATATTAAATTTTTTAATTTCATTAAATAATCTAATTTTTCATTTTCATTATGTAGTTTATCTACCATTTCTAACATTAATTTTTCACTAGCAGATATTACTTTAATATTAAAAGAA